AGCTGCATCTTTGCCTGATTCAGACTCAAGGTGACATTGCAAACTCCTTGCTTCTGTACCTCTAGGGACAGTTCTATGAGTCACAGGAAGAAAAAGAGTTATGTTAGGAATATATATATATATATATATATATATATATATATATATGGATATTGTATATGTACACATATATGTCACATATATCAAGGGCCTATGTGTAACTTCCAATTCACTATAACCACATATATGTATATGTATATGTGTGTATATAGACACATATGTGTGCACATACATATATGTATATAATCCTTTGTAAATTCAAATTTTATATGTATGTGTATATGTGTGTTGTGTATACATATATGTGCATACATACATGGGTATGAAATCTGAAATTATGAAGAATTGTAACAGTAGGAGCAACTGTGCACCAACATATTAGATAACTGTGATGAAATGGACACATTCTGAGGGTCATAGAAACTACGAAAACTGACTCAAGAAGAAGTGGAAAATTTGAAGAGACCTATAATGGGTAAAGAGATTGAATCAATAGTGAAAAACCTCCTAAATGAACATGAGTGACCAGAGTTTTACCAAATCCATATGGCTGAATTTCACTAACCATATAGGGAATAATGAATATGCATTCTTTCTAAACTCTGGTTACAAAAGCATTATTCTAGGTGAAAGAAGCTAGAGGGACAGGTCACACTTTGTATGATTGCTTTTTACTAAATGTAGAATAGGGAGCTCTATTAAGACAGCAAGCAGGTGAGTGGATGCCAGGGTTGGGGGAGGGGAGGAATGAGGGATGAAAGCCGAGGAGGCACTGTGTTAAATTGTGGAGAAAAATGTCTTAGAAATGAAGGAGAGGGCTACATCAGTTTGTGAATGTTCTTGATTCCACTGAAATGTAGAACTGGTGGATTTTATTTATATATTTTATTTTTGGGTGAATGATAAGTGGTGAACTTAAATGGTGAATTTTATGTGATGTGAATTTTACCACAATGAAACAAAGCATACTTAAAAAAGATTCATTTGTATTCTTCCACATTAGTTTTTTGAATCTGTTTCTATTTTACTACTTATATGTTTACTATTTGTGGTTTTCTGCCTTTTTCATGTTGTGATTATTTATGTGAGTCACACTGAGGTACAGTGTGGCCACTCAGCTCTAGTGGGATCAGAAGAGGATGAGGCTAGAAACAGGGGCTGGTGCAGACCCAGGGACTTACGTGTGCCTGCAGAATAATTGAAGGTTGCTGTCCCCTCAGGCAGACCCCTGCTCAGGAGTGTCAGGGCACTCTCCAGTTCTGTCAGCAGGTGAGTGGCCACGTAGTGCTTCTGTGAGGGGGGCAGGGTCTCCAGGTCCCCAGGGGTCTCCAGCAGCTCATCCACCTCCTGCATGAGCCCCTGGAGGGATGGGGCACAGAGCAGGTGGACTTGGGCCAAAAGGTCCATACAAAGAGCTTGACCACTCAGCCTCAGAGAGCAGACCCAGACGCTGTCCAGTTGGGGACAGAGAGAGCATGATTTGGGACTCCTTGGGTGGTCCTTGCTCCTCAGAGGTCAGCCCTGGTGTGTGACTGTCAATTATGACAAAACCCAAAGACCAGGATCAGAGCAAGAGGACAGACAGTGCACGTGGGTGTCCAAAAGTGTGTGTGGCTACCTGTGTCCTCTTCCACCTGCCCTGGGAGAGTGGCCAGCTCAGAGCAGGACCCCACTGTGCTTGGGCCTGTCCCCCTTCCCCCAGACCACAGCTGCCCCCCTCCCTCTATGGGAGGTCTCCACCAGCTTCCCCTGGATCCTGCCCTTACCTGGATGGTGTCCTTGGCCACAACTGGCTTGAAATCCCTGTGCAGATTGTTGACTTTGTCAAAGAAGTGGGAGAGACTCTGGGGAGGTGAGATGAGGGGTCATAGGTGGGTGGGAGGCTCAGGTTCAAGGGGTGGATGCTTGGCCATGCCAGGGATTCCCACCTCCCTGTCTTGGCTGGGATGCTCACCTTGCTGTTGACTTCAAGGGGCAGAGGCCTGGTGAAGAAGGCCTACAAGAGGTCATATGAGAAGAAATGTGGGTGGCTCTTAGGAAGGGAGTGTGGTCCCCTGCTGAAAGCTGCTAAGGGAAGGGAACTGTATTCTTCCTGCAACCAGGGAGCTGCGGGGGGGGGGGGGGGGGCTGTGAGTCCCAGGTGAGACTGCAGCCCTGACCAATGCAATTATTTCAGCCTTGTAAGACCATGTGAAAGGAACCTATCCCCCCTGTGCTGGGTTGCTGACCCACAGAAATGTGAGGTAACAAATTTGTTTCACTTAAGCAGCGACATTTGCATAAAACTGTTTTGCAGCAATTGATGATGAACACAGCCTCTCACCTGCACGTTGTAGCTGGCCATAAGGATTGCATGGCTGCTGAGGCGGGTACAGCGGCAGGTGGTTCTGCCATCTCTGGTGACCAATGTCTTGCAGCCTGCAGTGGCCCAGTGACCACATCCATTCTGGCCATGGTCCCAAAAGACACAGAGCACTTCACGCTTTGGCTCAGAGGACACCAGCT